TAGTCCGTCACTCAGATAATAGAAAAATATTAGATAGGTACGTACTTTTTTTTTACTTCAATTTAACAAGAAATAGCTTAGATAACAGGCATTAAAGTTGAGGAGAAAACGTACCATAACGTAAGGTCATGCGAAATTTCAAATCCATGTAACTCCGTAATTTTATGATAAAAAAAAATAAAAAAATACGTGTTTAATATTTTTTAACACTCTACCTGACGGGCAAACAAACAAAAATTAGTCGTCATCCCTATTATTGAATCATTTCATGTACATATTTCAAACCTTAGTGGGTTGCATTATGCAAATAAAGAAATTTACATTTATAAAATATGTTATTGTAATAATAAATTTGTTATAATACTAGCTTTTGCCCGCGACTTACTCCGCGTGGTATAATCACTTTGAACGGCATTTCTAAAACGAATATTTATTCATTATATCGTGTAAAATACCGGAAAAAAAAGTTTCATGATTTTATATTTAACAATGACGAACTTCCGTACAATCTATGGATCACAATAATAGCAACTTATATCCTATTTCAAGTCAACTCTGCTTAGTGGGTACATACACATAGACCTACTTTGGCGTGTACAGTGTACAATATTAATATGGAATCATTAAACGGTTCTCTTTGTCGCTTATTTCATCATCATATATTATATTACGAGTATAAAAATACGAGGTGTGTCAAAAAAATTACGAGAATTTTCGTTTTATGAAAAAAATATTTATTTATTAATGTTGTCGCCCTCAAAATAGTCCCCTTCGGATACAACACACTTGTGCTTTTTACAATCGCCGAAACACTTTTGAAAAGTTGCATAACAACAACGATCAGGGGCCGCGGCGCTTATCCACTAAGTTACCGAGCTACTCATCAATATAACAAAGCATACAGTTCTTACTAAATCTTAATTGGAAAATCAACCTTGACCAAAACAGTGCGATGTAGAAGTATACTTAACGCCATCTATTATAGCACAAAAATATTATTTGTACATGAATATTTTTTTTAAATATATATTTATAATGTTATTTTTGTTATCAATTACTACTCAAATATAATTTTTTATCACAACATAAGGAAATCTTCAGAAATAATATTATATGGATAATATTATTATTACAATGACAAATCAAACTGCAAACAACGGTTCCTAACTTACATTCCCATTTTTATCCTTTTATGTGCTAGATTTCGGATTAAAATATAACTTTTGGCCTTTATAACGTTTTAAACTACCCAAACACCAATTTTTATCGACATAGATCCAAAAATAAAGAATTTAAAAAGAATCCTCTTATACATAATAAGAGGAATGTATCCTCCAAATTTAGTCGTAGAACCAACGGATTAGGCTGTGCATTGTCTGTCAGTCAGGACTTTTTTTTTATATAAATATATATATGTTACATAATATCTCCATCATCGTTACGAAGATCGTTTGATTTAGTTTCTTTTTTTAATTGCTAGTTACTCTATTGTACAGATGGCGAGATCGTCGATATTTTTAATTTTATTAAAATGGTAACACTGACTTTGACAGTTCGTTAATGTAAAGCATGTAAAGCAAGTTGCCGCCATTTTGACACATTCTGTTTCCGATCGCCGAGGAGTAAAGACATCCGACGACATCACGCTCATCTCGTTATATTTTCGTATGAAAAGTGATAAAATAGAATAAATCCACCTTGGTATACACGCCTGCAGTGTTATTTTAAAAGATAGTCGCCCGATATGAACGGTCTATTTGGGCTTCGTAATAGCCCCTTCTGACTACCCGCCGTTATATAGATACTAAAAATTTCTTATAATGTATTATATTTGCTCCTTGTAGAATTTGATATTTTCTAGAAATTTATTTCTGCCGTATTTTTAATATTATGTTATTACCACATTAACGCTAAAAATTAAATATTTTTTTACATTTTATTTATACATGCTTTTATTTTCCAACATTTTTCACAATAGATGACCATAAAGATTTAACTACAATAAATCTAATTGATAAATTGAAACATCTAATAAATCTCAATCATATCAGTTACATTTTCAACATGAACAATAAACAAATCTCGATTTCTATAATAGAGATATACCAGTAGAATTATTATCATTGCTAGGCAGTTAACATTTTGAAATACAAATTACGGATAAACCTTTTGCACAGTCGTCGCTTCCGTGAAGTAATAAGTTTTTTTATTTAGTCACCAAAATTTATCTGATACGCTTAGTTAATAATAACATATAGTTAAAAATATGACGCCTAAATAATAGTTTGCAACGAGAAATAGGAAGATTAATTTTATTGTGTCACAGGAACATTTCGACACCCATGTAGAAACCAAAAAGATCTGAATAATTAATGAATTATCTTCAGATTTTTGTCACAGACTGATACAGATATCATCGAACTTCGAACATGATATTATCATCATCGAACATGATATCTGTCCCGAGCACCAGAGCGTTGTATTTAAATAGGGTATTTGACACTATCAAAAATAAGTTGCATTTTGTGGTCATCCTGATAGATAATAATCTAATAAAGCTTATTTCTTAACATCTGAAGAAATTCTTAACAGATTTAGTAAAATAACGTAAAGAAAATGCTATATTATTAGGAATTTATTCAACGACGAAAACGTCCTATAATTGGTCGTCGTCACAATCAATCACGATTCTGTTTACTGGCCTGTGACGTCATCAGCTGTCATGTCAAAGCAGTGTTAGAAAGATACATAAAATATCGATGCCTGTAGGTATCCTTGAAAAACGAAGAATGGAATTTTGTCCCTAAGGAGAATAAAACGAATTAAATTCGAATTAGTCCGAAAAATTTATTTTTCTTTGAGAAACTCACTTCACTTTATATTTATTGAAAAGCCCCAGCACTTCAACCCCCTTATGCTAACATAGGACACAAGCATGACTTATATACTTACGGATTTTTATTATTTTTGTCGAGCGTTGGAGTCGAGCATTTAATAGCTCAACCCATTATATTACAGTTCCGAGCATTACATTGCTGAAGGAATACATGCATTGTTACATTACAGGCAAATGCTCAAGTCAGGAAGTCAGTAGTGTAATGTTATCGCCATCATCATCAGCCCTTTTACGTCCCCACTGCAAGAGTTTAGGATAAAATATGGATGGTTAGGGGGCTGTCCATCAATCATGTGAGGTTCGAAGGGGGGAGGGGGTTCATAAAAAATTACGATATATCACAAGGGGTAGTAATATATCACATGTATTAAGCTCGGTGGCGCAGTGGATAAGCGCCGCGGCCCGCGATCGTTTTTGTTAAACAACTTGCGCAAGGGTCGGTCACGGGATGGGTGACCAAAAAAAATATTATCTCGAGCTACTCTGTGCTTCAGAAGGTACGTTAAGCCGTTTGTCCCGGCTTCATTTGCAGTCGTTAATAACCTCCGATTCGTATTGGGCCAGTGTGGAGGGTCGTAGACCATCCTCCTTAACCATCCATAAGGCCTGAGCCCCTGCAGTGGGGACGTTAAAGGACTGATGATGATGATGATGATGATTTATCTTTTCCTCAACCGTGGCGATTACTAAACCGAAAAACGGACTTAAAAATTAAGATTTTTTGGAGGTTTTTTGGAAAATCCAAACCCGAATTCGAATTCACTCTGGTGTCCGAATTCACTTCAAAAAGCGGCATCCGCTCAATCTTGAATTTGTTATAACGTTTCATGGCATAAGTGAAGTTTGTTTCGAAATGACATAGGAATAGAATATTTGAGACAAGTAGGTATATTCAATCAATTTTGTGTTAATTTTTATACAAAAATGGGATCAATCGAATTTCTATACTGAATGACGTCAATACGTGAGTGAATTCGAATTCGGGTCTGAATTTTTACAGAATCGTAGGACTGATAAGAAAGCACCTGTGAATGCAAAATCGGACTAAAGATAGCATGATACTAATATGTTTGTATGACAATCATATCAGCACTATAGTCCACACTCCACACTGATCTGAGCCAAAAGGCCGATAACATGGTACAGTGACGTTTGGAATTTGAAGTTTTTAGTGATGTGATAATGAAAATAAATATACACTATAACTCGATATTATGAATTCATTTCTAATAGAGATAATCGATTTAGAGGTCAATATATAATACAGCATTTAAAAAAATTATTTATACATTAACAAGATGAACCCATCAGAATAAATATAAAATTTTATTATAGTTAACTTTAATTGTTACGTCAACAATAATAAAAAAATCAAATAATACATATTTCGATAAAAACTATTTTTAACAGACTTCAAAAAAAGGAGGTTCTGAATTTCACCTGTATGTATGTTTGTGCGCGATTATCTCGCGTTTAACTGAACCGATTTTGATGCGGTTTTCAGCATAGTGTTTGTCAGACTTGGGAGAAGGTTTTAGATGCTACTATATTAAGCGTCTAAAAATTAAGGTTCGCACTTTAACACGTGTTATATGTATTGTCCGCGGTTATCTCGCGTATGGCTGAATCGATTTTGACGCAAATTTCATAAAAGTATTTTTAGTGTTCCCTATTTTATCAAATATCATCACTAAGCATGAAATAAAGACTTAAATAGGACTAAAAAGGACTAAAACCGAATTCAAACTTAACTTAAATTTAAGTGAACAATAATACTTATCTCAAAAGGGACTTATTCAAGAAAATGATTTTGAAGTCAGACGCATATCATTTAATTTACCTGCAGAAAACCTCCACCTCAACAAATTGCGTGAAATGGATTTGATAACAACCGTCACCGTACCCATGCTATAAGAAACGGACTATAGTGGGGCGTATTCTGATGTCACCTGTCATTTATTAGCGAGGTCTGAAGAAAGCCAGAATTTTTGTTGGCAATTTTAATACTTTCTTTTTTGAATAGATTTGTTTTGTGGAATTAAAAAGTATTATATTATCTCATCGATTACCGTTTCCACGCATATTCAATAATAAATACCATAATCAATTCAAATATAGTTTTATTTCAATTGCTAGCATTTTCATAACTCTCTTGAATGGTCCAATAACTATTTCTCTAATGCCCAGTCACAAATGATAACAATATTCTTTATAGACAACTACATATAGATTTTTATAAATTTACGAGAACAAAATAAAATAGAAAAACAGCATAAACATATTTCATAATTAATTAAAATAATTCACAAATAATTGATGGCAGTACATATATATATATCAGTTTTCACAAAACACCTACTAAATTAAAATTAACTGTTTACAATAAATGTATCATAAAATAATTTATAACATTATAACTGTAATTTTGTATATAATATTTTTAGAATTGAAATTCCAGGCAGTAATTTTTTCTACTACCCACAAATGAGTTTGTAATTTTAAATATATAAACATCCAACATTGAGCTTAGCATGAAAACTACTTAGTACGGATCAAATTTCAAGCACATGTCATATTTCGTACTTACTGTTATTTTACATTCCTACCGCAGTAAAGTCGTTATAACGCATCTTACCATGACCGGAATAGGAACGTACTAGTTTAAAAACATATTCTTTGTATTGAATAAAGACTAGACTAGTTTTCTGTTTTATATTTTCTTAATTCAAAACAAAAAAAGTTTTTTTACGATTAGAACGTTTATTTCGTGCTTGATACGTTAATAGCACGGTCATAGTATGACATAGAAAAGGGAACTGTAATTTTGAATACGAAAATTAGACGTTCTCTCGATATTATTCGATTCGCACTCCATGTTTCTTGCTGACGGTACAGGTATCGTCTAGAAGGACCAATTAATTACTGATGTTCATCATACAATGGAATGTTCTAGCTGCCTAGGTTAGAACTGTTTTCTGAATTCCTCTATATCAATTATATCGAAAAGTATTCGACAGTTAAGGCGTCTATCTATTTTTTAAGGTGGTGGCCGTTTTCGCGTCGTGGAAGTAAACCCCGCCTTTGTGATGAATTTCAGGAACGATTCTTTATTCTATGATCTGGAATCGAACGTTGAAGATTTAGCATTCGCACAGGCGTTATAGTCAGTTTAATGACATGCCGCTGGGCACAGACTTTCCCTATGAGTGGAAACAAATAGAGGGGCCAAACACACAGGCCCAGTGCGGATTCATCACCGGCCTATTAATTTCAGGCCTCCAGGATCGAATTGAGAATGGGCCATAGACACAGCACGCGGGCCCAGTGCGGAGCGGTAGGTGTTAACGATTGCAAATGCAGCTGATATTTGATAGATAATTTGTGCAAGTTGTTCCTAAATTGAAAGCAAATTAATCAATCAAAAATAATTGCGAAAAAAACGTGGACAAATGTAACACGCGTGTTAAGAAACCCACTTAGACCAACATATTAGGTCATTTCAACGGTAATACTAATTGATAACCTGATTTTTTGAAATCATTTATATCAGTATACTTAATATACTTAAATCAGTATACTTACTGTTACGTGGTAGAATCACAGCTTCCACGTCAGATACGGTGCAACTATGTAGATTATTATGGAACATGTATTGAATTGTCAAGTGTTTATCCTCGCCCACGCAAGGATCGTAGAAGCCTGGCAATTCAGACTGTAACCAAAATAATATATTTAAATAAATTTTTGGCCATATTAATTCACGGATTGGTGAGTGTTAACTACAGTAGTTGCAGCGGACATCAACGGTTTGACGTGCATTTCAAAGCACGATGGAAGTCGTAAATTTTTGGTCAACCATGCTATGATCGGCTTATGAAAGTTGCTTAACTTCCGTATCGCAAACGGAATGCAGTGGCTAGCTTCAACAAGTTCCTCATCGGTATAGATAAAAATATTTTCCGGAACATAAATATTTAGTACAACCAACATTTTGTTTTAGTCAGTACACGATTTTTCCCTACTATTTTAATATTGTAATTTGTAGGGAATGCAATCTCGTTCTCGCGAGATCTCGGCCTTTTTTTAGCGAGATCGATCTCGGTCGAAAAATAGGCGAGATCTCGCGTGTATACTCGAGCATAAAGACGACTTATCTGAGTACGGCAGCGCGAATTTATGCGAATTCGGGGGGTTAAAAGGCGAAGTTTTTTACAATTTTACAGTACTTGTGTTTTCGAAAGGGTCTTCTCAGTGGCTGGTTATCTGGCCAGCACAATAATAAGATGAATAGAAAAAAGATTCTTTGGACATTTTGTGCTTCCTAGCACTACTTACTTAGAAGCTACTTTCAAAATTGTTCGTAATAATGACGTGCGAAGTGTGAACTGAATAAGCCTTTAAATTGATTCGTGTATTTTATTCATTTATTCTCTCATTTCTAATAGATCTCTGAGTACACATATATTTTTTTTATTTATAGTCAATTCAACTTAGTTAATGAATTAAAAGGAGAGGAGACTGGTTGTTTATTTCATTTCGTATTTGTTTAGATACGTCAAAGTTTAGTTTCTTAAAAGATTAGTACTTGGATGACTAAGCTTTACTCTGCACTTTTATAAAATAAAAATAAAAATTAAACCTAACTAAACCTATTTATCGCCTCTGAAAGCACCTGCAAACTTAATGTCATGAAAATTGTTGGAGCCGTTTACGAGGTTATAATACAATAATTGCTCTTTTTAAGGTTTTAGATAAAAAAATATATAATTGCGTCAAACAATGTTAAATACATAAAACTTTATTGAAAATACTCGTTAAAATAAATATTTATTACATAATATATAGGTATTCCTATATTTTTTTACTAATTTATTCAAAAATTGTGATTTGAATAAATATTATAGTAAAACAGTAAACACACAAAAGTGCCAATCTCGCGAGATCTTGTAATTGGCGAGATTTCGCGGTATTGATATTTATAAACTCGCATCGGCCGCGGTATTGATATTTATAAATTTTAATCGGCCGATTAAAATTTTTCTTTAACAATCTATATAATGTCTCGATAAAATTTATATAATGTCTCGATTCTGGGTACTGATAATACCTTTGTTGTTAGAGATACTCCACAATACAAAGATTTGAGCTACTTATCTTAAAAATTCTTTTCTGACATTTATTATTATTAAATATCTTATTATTATATCATTTTTAAGCATTTCATAAATCAAAATATATTTATATTATCATCATTTTTATAGCATACTTATTACAAGTTACCTTGCTAGCCTCCAAGAGCTCTAGACGCGAGTCTTTCACTAGACATTGTATAGGAATAGTGACATCAATCACTTCACTGTATAAGCTCGGCGACTCCGGTGATGAAACTGTATCGCCGGTTTGTTCCGCGACGATCTCATGACTAGAAGCACCTACAAAAGTATAATAGCACAATGTAATCTAGAACCATTATTTTTATTATTTTTATAATATTTATTAGATCTGCCAACAAGTTTACATTGTTTTTTCTTAGACAGTATAACGTAACTAAATGTAACAAACCTTTAAAGGTAAATACGACATGCACCAATTGAATAAAACAAATAAGTAACTATTATATTATAGACAAAAGGATCGCAATAATTGAAAAGAATAAAAAAGACCATTTATTGTTTTCCACGAACAATTAAATTGATGATGCAGCGGTTCTTGTTAAGTGAATCATGGCAATATTTATTTTGTTTTCTTCTCTTTGGAAAACATACAGTATCGATATAACTAGAGTATTGACTAATATACCTACATAGGTTAGCCGTAAGTTCTGTTACAAAGAAAATATCCGATAATTTCTAAAAAAGTAATTTTATTTTAAAGTTTTATATGTGATTATGTAGAGTGAAAAAGATATGTTACGTACTAAACTACACTGGCGGCACGCTATGATGGCCGTTTTGACATATTACAATAGTGATGTGGAATGTCAATTTATTCTCGAACAAAAAAACAAATAAGTTTTGTTTTTGTACCTGATTAAATAGGTTTAATAAAACAAAAATGTAAATGTTTATTTAATATATTTGAACGAACTGAATATTTGAATGAAAATGAATATACATACTTTATATGCACACAAGAAACATATGAATACAAAAGATACCAAAAAAAGTGCCACAAAAGGCCATATTTAATCAGATTCGTCCATACTACTATTTTCACTGTCGTCACTGCTATCATCACCTACATTAATTATAAGTTCGTTTTCTATAATATTATCTATTTTCACATCTCTTTCATAATCTTCCCTTATTAATTTAACAGTTCTATTCACAACCTTTTCCCAGTCTCCTTTAGTCACATGTTCACAAGCTTCTTCTAATAATTTTAGCATTTTTTTGTGGTAAATGGGGGTTCTGTATTGTGTCTTGCAGCATATCCCTTAATTTGAGCCCACACCAACTCAATCGCATTATACTCACAATGGTAAGGCGGTAACCGTATAACTCTGTGCCCATGTTCTAATGCTATTTCGTCAATGACGTATCGGATCTTGGTTGGTTTGTTTTCTTTTAAAAGACGTACTAATTCCGCTTTTAACATATTCATGTTTGCATCTACGCCATTTTTACGAAGCCATGCGACGATGTCAGCTTTCTTTTGGGATTGGGCAGGTGGCTTGTCAATTTGCATCGAGTGGTATGGGGCGTTGTCCATAATTATAATAGATGGTTCAGGGAGGCTACACAACATTGAGGTAAACCATTCAGTAAACTTTTCTCCATTCATGTCTTCATGATAGTCTCCAGTGGTTTTTGACGCAAAAGCCATGAGAGAACCTTCGACAAACCCGTTGATGGTTCCGGCGTGACAAATTATAAGTCGCGATCCTTTTCCAACAGGAACTTTGGACGTAGATGCTGCTGTGTCATCGGTCCAAGAACGGCCTACAGTATGGTTAGCATTAAGCCATGTTTCATCCAAGAACACAACATTTTGCCAATTTTTGATTTCTTTCACTTGCCGTAAAAAAGTATACCTTGCCATCGCTATATCAAATCTTTCCATCAATATTTTGCGTTTGTTACATTTTTTGTATCGAAATCCTATGGTCTTCAAAATCTTCGTTAAAGAACTTTCCCCACCGAAGAATAATCCAGCTTCCTTCAGTGAATGCACCAACTTTTTTCTTGTTGGATACTTGTTCCGTAAATAGTAGCCGTAAACATGTCTTCGGATAGCATCGGCATCAAAGCTATCGATGCCTACGACTGGTTTTGCTCGTTTTCTCTTTTTTGGTGTGTGAAGTTTATTTTCTTCTGTGCCAGTCTCGCCATATTTTTCTTTAGTTATTCGTCTAACAGTTCGTTGTCCAATATTAAGCGCATCAGCTACGCGTTCAACCACTGACGTTATAGGTAAAATTGGCCCTCCATTTTGAGATTCACGATCAAAATAGTTCCGAAGGCGTATTACGAACTCACGTGTCTGACTATTTAAAACAGTTCTCTGCGTACGTTCGGTCATATAGACGAAATCCACAACAAAGGGCTTGAACAGAGTCCAAATTAACGAGCAAGGGTCAACAGTAATGCAATATCAATATTTGAAATCCAAAGCCAGGTCAAAACTATATCACAATCGCATTGCACTGACAGTTTATACTTTTCGAAGCAACGTCAATTCGAAACTGCTTTATTTTGCATTGAGCATTGACGCGAGTTTGCCGGAGGTAATAGTTGTGCTAGCCAGCGATCCTATGTGACGATCGTATTAGATTCCATTTTAAAAAAATTTCAATTTAGAAAACCAAATGCCGAGTTGTGGTATAAATAAGTACACCAATCATATATCATATAAAAATAAAAATTTTACCTTTTGTATGAAACAGCTGATATTTTTTTGCGATTTCAGAGGTAGCCACATAGTGAAAATTGTTCATATTCACAAGTACATTCACCCCTTAAATGGTGCAAACTGATTTTTCTACACTTGTATACATTTTAGAAATCAATTTGATAAATTAATTTTTGGTTCCTAAAACTACATTCGATAAAACTTATGAATCTCTGCACATCACTATCGTCAATAAAGTAATACAATTATTTCCTTCAAAGTTGTTATCAATTAATACGGAACTTCATGAGCGGACAAACGTCAAAACGGCCATCATAGCGTGCCGCCAGTTTAGTTATTCAAAATGTCCACCCTTAGCTTTAAAGCACGCTTTTAAACGGTCGGGATATTCGTCGATGGATTTACGAACGGTTTCACATGTACACAGTTAAAACAGTTTTCTAAAAGTATTATAAAGTAGTATAAGTTAGTAAAAAGTGTTTATAAAGTATATAAACACTTATGTACCTATTCTTATTTGCATAAAAAGAAAGATTAAAAACTACCATTAGCTAAGGAATCACATCAAACGATTCTTTACTCAAACACTGTCTTAAATTAGTTGGTTTACTATTAAAAATGTCAAGCGTGGAATCCACCAAATTATTAAAGTGTACAAAGAATCAATTTTTGATATAATCTGTGTTACAAAGCGGGACACTGAGACTGTTTTGATGACCTTTTGTTGGTACTCGAAAATTTATTAAAAAGAGTAGTAATGGAGAATCTATAAGAGATTGTGCTATTTTATGCGTCTTTCCACGAGGGTAGAATATGTTCCCTACAGCTCACGTAATTCATTTCATAACTTCTGCACCTATACTATAAATACTTAAGAAACTTCCGTTGTATAGTTTCTAATCTGTCAATATAAATCCCATATGGCGGGTTGAAAATCTAAATCAAATCAAATCAAAATTTATTTATTCAGTTTAGGCTTTTACAGAGCACTTGTGAAAGTTAACTTGGGCTTTCACTATCAACATACAAAAAGTAGATTAGTATTAAGTGTATAATCTACGAGCAGAGTTTATAAAATACTAAAATATGAATCAAACTGAGCGAAACACTGGGCAAAATTCACAAGAGCAACGCCATTAACAAAAAAGAAGATTCATTTTGAAAAAAAAAATTCAATTGATTGATATTATATCATTTGTAGATTAATATTTTTATGTTATTATTTGTATTTGCGTTAATCTATCTAATCTAGTTATTAAATTTAATGTTTTTTAGACATTGTGTCAGTAAACTCATCTTTTTCGTCTAAGGTCAACATCGAATTTTGTATTTGTTGAATCACTGGTATTCAACAAATACAAATATTCATATTCTCCGGTTATCATCACAAATATTAAAAAGATTAAAAAGGATCTTTTTATAGATATAAATACACAACAAATTGCAATTTAGCTATCAAAAATGTATGAATATGCATACTCATTTGCACACTTATTATTACATGTTTCCCGTAACAGATAACAATGTGCCTAGAGTTCACGAATTCATAAATGGCGGTCCTTTCTTAACAATAATATTGTGTATTTTTTACAATAACATTTAAGTTTTAATGCATAAATAACATATTGGATTACTCTAATAAACGAAATATAAAACGGAGGTACTCACCTGACGGTAGTTTGCCATAGACTGCTTTAATAATAACTAAGCCCTTCTTCTTCTCCTCATCGCTTCTGATACGAGAGTAAGTTTCTCTCATCAGCTCGATAGTCGCTCTAGCTTGACGCTGCATTTCCTGCAATCTAAAATAAAATCACCATTAACCTTCATAGTAGAATACGATTATAAAGTTTGTAATTTTATTCTATCAAAATTGAACAAATAAATTAATTTTCTTCTCTGATAAATTTGATCCATGCACCTTCCTTAACATAAATGTGCCCAAAGTCAACAAAAGCAACTGACCCATCACATACACCTCTTTAATGGCACCTACCAGAGTTATGATCGTTTGATAACTCAAGACGAAAAATGAGTCCTTTATAATCATTTGTTTTTTTTTTGTTAACGCAAGGCAAATGCACCTTATACCTCAAACCACTAACTAGGACCAGTCCCAAAAAATAATGAGGTCAAAGTGCGGTTGGCCTGATAAAAGGATGGGAGGATAGGATCCGGGTAGCCTCAAGAAGGGCTCCGTGATGTTATCCTGTTCTAATCCAAACCCTAAAGTTTTGGAATATCTCCATAATCTATCTTCAAAAATATATTCTTCAAAAGGTCATCTCATCAGGTATATTTTCATTAAAAGCTAGTCTATTTTTAAAGGTCTGTGATTGAAAATTTGCTCTTTAGATGGCACAATGTGTTGATAAAGAGGTGCGTTTATATTTAGTTTTATTGACGTTCCGGACTCTTAACATGTTTGACTAAGGTATCGATTGTCTTTTAATCAAGAGTATAGCTACCTTCAAAACGAACGATAATTGGACGCATATACAATACAAACAATCTTATATTTTATGGAAACATTTACATTCTTACATTGGACAGACAAAGGTGAGCATAGGAACTCGCATTAGGAAACAAGTAGTTGAAGTTAAACATAGGCGGAAAATAATTCTGCAGTGTGTGAACATGCGTGAGGTGAATACAGTTCGTTCACTCCGTAAATATAAAATCAAAAGGAGCAATTAACTTTTCTTGTCTTAATTTGATTCACCAGTTCTTCTCATACTAGACTCCCATATTTAAAACTGGTGGTAGATTGCGGTAGCCAGGGATAAATTATAACTTAAATGTATATTAAAAATAACTTATATAAATAACTTAAAAGTAGCTCGGTGGCGTAGTGGATAAACACCGCGGCCCGCGATCGTTGTCGTTAAGCAACTTTCGCAAGGGTCGGTCACGGGATGGGTGACCAAAAAAATTATTATCTCGAGTTACTCCGTGTTTCGGAAGGCACGTTAAGCCGTTGGTCCTGGCTGCATTTGCAGTCGTTAATACCCTCCAAACCGTATTGGGCCAGCGTGGAGGGTCATAGGCCATCCTCCTTAACCATCCATAAGAAAGGCCTGAGCGCCTGCAGTGGGGACGTAAAAGGGTTGATGATGATGATATTAAAAATAATTAAATTTAATCAATGTAACCGTAAACCGTTTCCATAAAATAAAATAAAACTATTATGAATGTATCCAATAACATTTTGTTTTGAATGAAGCTATACTCTTAATTAAAAAAAAGTACAATCGACACTTAAGTCTTATGTGAACACGGAACCTGTAAAGGGTTCGAAATGTCAATAAAACTAATTATAAACGCAATGAAAAAGTTATTTCATTTATTATATATGGTGACGTCAATAAGATTTATAGTTTACCTTTCAAAGTTTGCCTCCATAGACCTCTGGCGTTCTCTCTCCTGTCTTTCTCTAGCGATGGGATCGAGGACTAATTTCTTCAACACAAGCCATGACACCAGAGGAATGACTGTCGCGTAGAACACAGGCGAAGGCATCACTTCCTCACATAAATGTATGGGTACAACTACAGTTTGTGACGAGCATGTCCATCTGGAGAAGGTTAAATTCAAATTATTAAGAGCAAAACAGATAATCCAACTTTTACATCAGTCCAAATTTGCATAATAATTAAGGTTTAGTTATATAATAATTAAACAAGGGATCTTTTCGATACCGATATATATATCCTTTCGATCGGAATCGGCGATATATATATTTGCCGATACACCAATATATTTTGAAATTCGCGCGCTATGAACGCGTACAAATTGTCACTCTCATGGTTATATTATTTTTTTGACTTTCAATATCCACCTTACATAGTCCATATCACTAGTAGCGATTTTTTTTCTAGTGTATTGGCCAGAATTATTATTGGCCAAAGGGCGTATCAATGCATCCTTCGTTTATATTATCATTACCAGTGGTTTTTATATATTATATCCCTAATATCATTCCAAATGGTCCGTGAAGTGAGATCTACACTAATATTATAAAGAGGAATAATTTGATTGTTTGTTTGTTTGCATCGAATAGGCTACACAACTACAGGATGTATCATACTGGGTTGACAATAATTTACGCTTGGAAAGTCGCAAGACAACATCTAGTGTTACTGTTAATGGTTTAACATTAGAACGGTCAGTGTAGCTATAGCTAAACTATAAGACATGGAAATCTATTCTTAGTCAAATTCATCGATTTTAGTGACAAGAAAAATGCATTCATACGTTTAAAAAAAATACTTCTCAGTTCGGAAGTTAAACTCAAACATTTGAAAAATAAAACTCACGTTTTTCTAATTAGATGCCGATATAACACAGTTAATATTAACTATGATGTCTAAAATATATACTCAACAGGTCAATAGTTTAATACGATAGGCGACTAGTGTCGTTATTTTAAAATGACTAGGTATAAAAATAAAATTCCTTAACGTAAATGAACCAGTGGAAAAGAACACAGTGGTTCCTCTGTATATACGCTTCATACTACGACGAGCTTTAGATTATTCTGCGATTAAATTTAAGCAATTAACTTCAAAATTATTCGGGGAAGATTTAAATGAGATCCAAACCACAGTGTAAAAACTTTAATGCAAATATTTATATAAATATATCTCAACTTCTGAAAAAGCTTTGAAGTTATACCTAATAAAATTATCGACTTTTTTTACAAATTCCATACAGAAATTCACGAAAACAGAAAGAAAGAAAAATTGAAAAAAAAGGGTTTTGAGCTCTTATAAAAATATTGTACTGTACACATTATTTTATTACATAAAATAAAAATTAAAAGGAGATTCCGAGAATTATTTTTGGTAATCCACCTTATGACCGGCCCTTGCAAAACTTCCGAATAGGGAAAATGGAATATGACAAGTAGTTACCGCATTTATTGCACTTTTTAATAATTATTTACAAGATGAAAACGAAATAATGTTGAAAAATATTTCCAAAGACTTTATTCTAAAGCAATAATGATCGAAATAAAATACATGAACTCTTTTTTAATCGGGCGTATATTCCCTATTATACACCGTACTCGATGACCATTGCTTCATAGAGCTTCTCAAATATCTATCACTTACTTTAATTTGAGCATTACCCCACTAGGAACACCCAGCATGACTGCAGCTGAGACACTGCTGTTTTGTGAAACTTTTTTTTCGGCTCCATATTCAGCTATAGCACCAAAAGTGCCGAATCTGCAAAGTAATAATATTTTCAATGCAGTTGCGCTATCATAAGGCACTATTTTTTAATCCATTGTTAACACCGAAAGTGAGTCTTTAAACACGTGTTAAATAAAAATGTACTGAAATCCTTTACTGCACACGTGCTTAAAAGTATTTTTTTTATTTTTTTTTTGGCTGAAAATTAATTATTGAAATCAAACTTTAGAGGCAAAACTATTTCAAGGAGCCTAGAACGAATATTTTCAAATAAAAATGTATGACACGAAAACATGTTCAATTAACACGTTTAATTTTAATAAATAATTTTTATCTTTAATACATACTTAGTTTTATTAACCTATATATTTGTTTTATTTCCTCGCAAAAAGCATTGAAAAATATTGTAAGAAACTTGAGCGTAAAAGGTTTTTCGAATTCGTGCCAATGAAAACCCAATTTTTTGAAAACCCAAGGTTTTCAATTTGGCTCTTATTCGTAAAACCTTACTTTTCGCACTCGTATCTTAAATAACTTTTATACTACAATCACTGAGACAGTCGTTAACTAACACGGCCTGAAAATTCATCATTACTAAACGAGTAACATATGATGATCATTAAAAAATAAAACATATTAATAACATTGTATGAAAATCCTTTTTTTATTTTAGTTTCACATAATACAATTCCGAATTTTGTTAACTGACTACATATAAGCTAGGCGCTTGGCATCCCAAAGAAAAAATTAAAAATTCAGTGAATTTTCATACACTCGCAAGTTATTTTTTAAATTATTTATAATGGGCTCATGGATCTCTATTCGACCCCAGCATGAATGAGATCTACGATGAGACGAGCTTAACCAGAATGAAATTATGCACTTTCGCCTTAAATATCTGCACTTACTAGTAAGAAGTAAGCGAGATGGTAATAATAACAATAGCATATTAAGCGGACACTATAAATGTGTAATATGCTTGCAGATAATACTTTTTCTTCAAAAGTATGAAAAAACATAGTTGCGCACTTAAATAACATCAAATCACGTTAAAAAAGGCACACTTTAATTATGACAATGTTGTATCAGTCACATTAATAAATATAAGTGTGACATAGTTTGTCAGTTACAACTTAATGATGTTGCTATTCGTATTTTATGTATTTATACACACTTAGATACACAAAATAGATTAATCACAACAAAAAAAATACATTTAAAATGAATACACAACATAATATTAACATTCGCGAGTTAAACAAAGATACTTATAACATTATAATAATGATTTTGAAAATTTTATTTTTTAATTGTTAGGGATATGCTTTCGATAACACCATTCAATCAGCAAATTGAAAATTATGCTCATGTATGATGTCCACTTCTGAGCATAGAGAGACATCCCCAGTAGATATACGACGATAAATTTACATAACTACAAATGTGAAATTTCAATAAATAATGTTGCCCTTTGCCTAAATAGAAATATGCTTTGAGTAAAAAAAACAATGTACATTGTAAGTATAATTCTTTTCGCGGCAAGCATATTTTAAGTATAGAGTAATAAATAAAAATACAAACTGCTATTACAATAACTTTATTTAAAGCATATGATTAATAGCTATACTTAAATATAAGTTGAGCAGGTACTGAAGACGTCTAAAGCTAAAGATATGTATGGTTCATCTAATCACCCTAATAAATATATTTATATTAATTTTCTAATAAATCTGATAGGATTGATAACCAATTAGCTGATCATTTCTAATAAGGAATTGTAATTGTTCTGATAATCTAATTTTCACATTAAGCAATAAAATCAGTCTTAAATTCCCATGATTAGATAATTCCATTATGACAATGTTTTTGTTGAACTATCGCCGACAAATTAAGAAGAAATAAAATTTATTACTTGAAATGAACCAAATTTCAAGTAATAAATTTTATTTAACACTAAATATTTAACATCAAATATTCGGTTGAAACAGTGTTTTTTTTACAACAGAATGTTATTGGAATAGTAATAAAATAATTGAATGCTCTATGAAAATGTATCACTCATAACATGTCCCAAGAAGGTATATAACAATATGGGCTTGCTACCCTTTCACTTGTGATACCATTAAATTATAATATTGTAAAAAAATAAGAAAAAAACATTAACTTACTTCAAAGCTAACCTCAGCTTCATATCATGCTGGGGTAGCTTTCTCATTATGTTGAAGGATATGAAGGAATGTGGGTTGCCAATTTGGACAGCTGTATTAGAGTGGTATTTCTCAGAATCACGAACATATATAGAGGTCATGGAAGAACCACCTTGTCCACCCGCACGATATGTCAAGTAGCCCACAGAATGTGTATCTAACTGTAGAGCCATAGCTAAAAATAAAAATATACACTGAATAATAATGAACCTATTCTTGATAAAAGGTTACATGCTAAAGATTCACCAATGATGTTTCAGTATGTTTTTAATTTCATTTACAATGGAGACACTTTTTTAAGTATTCATTGTATATTTTAATTTCATTTTAGATAAAGTGACACGAAGGCATTAAACTTGAATCCATGATAAAAAAAGGTACCAAGTATTAAAAATAAGCATTGTTAAATTTCATATGAAACAGAAATGTCATAGAATGTAATATCAAATCATCAATATTATTTGATATTGCATTCTATTACATCTAGTATCAACTTACTTGATACTAGACTTGGTGATATTCCTCTGGGTGTGAATTGCAAAACAGTGCCACAGTTCAAGAACATTAATCGGGACAATGTTCGGAATATTTTAAAACCTAGAAGAGGGCCATTTCCAATCCCCATTTCTACTTCTGTCCAACCCTTTTCTGAACTCAAGTGACGATTACAAATATTAACAGAACCAGTTCCTGAAACAAACAAGTGAATAAAATTTACAGACAACCAATTACACTACAATATTTTTAAACAATTATAAAGTGGCATTGTTTGTCTTTCATTTTTCATCTCAATATTCCTTAATCTATATTTAAGAAGTAAAGAATCATAATACTGAGGTAAAGAATTAACTCAAATATAAATTTGCTATACCTATCCCATTCTGAGTTGAAATATTCCCTGAAAGAGTCATAGTATTCCTCAGGGTCACGGGTGCATCAATAGATTGTTGTATAGTCATGCCCGACACTTCAATGCTTGGTATGATAGTAGTTTCTTCCCTGTTTAATAAACAAATTATGTCTGACTCATACATATTTAAAACATGCATAAATACAACTTATCGATTTATAAACACTCACATAATTTCATATTCATCATAATATTTCATAAAAAGATCAGTAGCATTAACGGACAAAGTAATTGTTCCCCGAGGATTTGCACTCTGTTGTAATCGTCGCTCCTCCCTTTCACGTTTTAATCTATAAAAAATAGAATTTACACCAGTTAACAGCTGACCTACAAATATGATTTTTATTAGTAAAACAGCAGCTAACTAGTGAAAGACCTTTCATATTCTTCTCTTATTTCTCTAGGAGTTCGCGTGCGGAAAATAACTTCCCAACCATCTACCTCCAAGCCTCGTTTTCCTTAAAATATAAAAGAAAAATTAATGATATTCTTCACATAATTCAGTGCCCCCTTTTTAATGGATTGAACCTACCTAGAGTATCATAGATAGCTCTCTTGTGTGAATCTGATAATACTTCATATGCTTCTTTAATTTTGTTGAATATTTGTTCAGCCCATTTTTGCTTATTTGGATCAGTGCTGTGTTTATCGGGATGGAACATACGCGAAAATCGACGATATGCACTATTTATTTCCTCTGGTGTGGCCTGAATTCATAAAGAGGATATATTAACATGTTATATCTGCATAGCGATTGTACTCCTTGTATTAACTGAACTAACTTATATTGGCTCAATTTTGGATATGTATGGACAAGTCCTACATTTAACTGGATTTTAATATTTCCAATGATAAAATATTATTCACCTAGCTAACAACTTGTGAAATTTATTATACTATTATTTCATACGAGAAATAAATTAATTATCGTTTTAATACAAAGTGGTAATTTTATTTAATTTTTTTTTTCATCTAGGGTAATTCTAACCTTAATCAGATGTAAGACGAATAGCAAATTTAAAATTAATATCTACTGATAAAATGATCATTACAAAAATAACATGGACAATTATTAAAATATATACAGGGATTTCATTTATAACTTCTTTTTACGTTATATAATAATGATAAATTCGGATTTTGTCTGCGGACTATTGTAGGCATGTGATATAATATATATTTACCGTCTTTGATACATTTAATAATTGATAATAATTATCTTCTAATAAAATATTCTCTCCCTCTTCATCCATTTGGAATTATAGAAAATGTTATATGGACAAAAATGTACAAGTGTTTTTCTACTTTTCGGCCCAATTCACGTAATATTTTAATATATTTTAGTAACACCAATTGCCGCTTTTTCAAGAGGTCGCTAGTGGACGGTAGGCGAAGATCAAAAAGAAAGCAAAGAGTAAACAGGCACCATGAATGTATTATACAAACAGGATCGAACATTTCCAGTTGAGAAGATTTGTGATACAATAATATTTTTGTTATGACACTTTTCGTACGGTATTCTATTCAGTTTATATAAATTATATATTAATGTACAACCTGTAACATTATAAACACATATTTTTAAAGTAGTATGTTAAAATTAGATACAGATTCGAAATGAACAATTATTTACAATTCAGCTATTTTTTTTTTGCTAATTTTAATGAGGAAGTATTTAAAAAAAATTAGTACCCGAAATCGAACTAGATGTCGCTACGGTACGTTCTTGATTTTTTTTATGGGATAGGGGGCAGACGAACAGACGGATCACCTTATGATAAGTGATTACCGTTGCCCATGGATACCTGCAACACCCGAGCGTTGTCATGGAGAAATCAAGAAATCAGCGCTCTTGTAGCGCTTTATTCCATTGGTTTTCTGCAAAAATCAACTTTTGCTAGAGTCTAGTGGAGGTGTTTTTTAGTACTGTCGTTTTTTTTTACACTTTCTCCTAGAAATCAAATAAATCATAGTCATTTTTGTCCATGACAAACAAAAAATAAACTTAAGCCTATGTAATAAGGCTTTTCTTTTTAAAATTATTAGTATTCTTAGTTGTAATAAAATTCATCTTAGGATAAAAATAAAAAATAGCAAAGAAAAATGAGCTTTACTTTAATGCACCTTGAGTACACTTAAATGAACACAGCGAGCTTGAATGCATACATACAAGAACATGGTTGATCCTAAATTTCTTCCGGAAAAACATTTAATAATGCACAAGAGTATGAGTGTTGTGTGTGTACACACACATCATGTATATACAGGAATAATTTAAAACCACTGCGAAGATTTTGTGTAAATAAACTATAAGTAATTTAAACAAACACGTATTTTTTATTTTGATATGTTATTATCAGAGATCGGAATTAGGTAGAGTTATTTATGTACTTGCATCGAAATGTTGATATTAATGTGGACCTTCGTGGCAACATCGCGCGTATTGGTATTTTGCAACTTTGGACATCCGATGTTATTGATGTAAGTTTGGCAACGTCGTGCGTGCAGTAGTTTAAATTGTGTAGAAGTAAATAACTTTTTATTTAAAAAATCATGGGACTTTTTCTGCTTTTTAAGAGGTGAGGTGATTTGTAAGAGTAATTCCGCTTAGGTTCTCACCACTCAGAAGATAAACTCGTAAAACTCGCATTTGGTAAATTCTGACATTATGTACACAAAACACAACACGAAAGGCGTGAACGACGGACACTGCGCGGGGACGCGAGGGCACGTCACATCGGCGCGTGCGGATGAGTCTCACTGCCGCCACTGTCGCACACGTCGCCCGGTCCCGAGCGCCTTGGGCTGTGACAACAAACATACACCAGTATACTATATTACAAACATCTAATATTGCATCTGTCTCTTACGCTTACACATCTAAATCAAAGCGGCATTAATATATTTACTTCTTTTTCCGTTCCTATTGGGTTCCTATTTTCCGGCGCATCATTTTATAGTTGTAGTTAACACGTCAACGAATATTTACTCATAAATTCTTTAGAAAAAAAAATAAGTATCAAGACTTGTCATAGCTAGTTACCGGTCAATTATATGAAAATCGATATTGTTTATTTTTATTTTGTACCATCAGATTCTGGAAGATAATTAATAAATATTAACCTATAGTAATATAATGAGAAAGTATTAAATAAAAATAAAGTACCGAAAAAGCACCTCGCCATCTAGATTCTGGCAAAAGTAAATTTTTGCAAGTAACAAATGGATCCAAGTTTGTCATTTACGTTCCTTGTAACTAACATATTAAAAAATTAAAATATGCAATGTTCGAAAACCAGATATCAATACAAAAACGAAAGAGTACAGTATCAATACAAAAATTAATTTAATTTTATACATAAAAGAAAACCGGAAGGGTTGTCATGTAGCAATCAAGAAAGTACTGTAGATACATTTGGTTTGACTTCGGGAACTATTGTTTTTCTTAAATACTAATTAATAATGATTTTTCAGAGTTATCACTCCTGTTTATTTAATAAATCAATGGCTACTGTACGTAAGCAACAAAATAGTGGAGAGGGGAATAGACATAATAGACTTCAATCATACACATGAGCTCTTTCTTTGGTCACGATCTATGCTTTTTTAGTCTGTGACCTGACTCTATCTCTCGTTGTCTCGTTTAGTTTGACGACTGATTGATTAACGATCCATCAGGATGGGTTACCGCATTTGCTGATAAACTCGCTCCCTCGTTTGTTCCGAACTATGACTATCTTCCTATAAAAACATATGACATCATCCCATCTGTTGGTAATTTAGATAATCCTTTCACCTTGCGGGAACTTGACTTGGCACTTGGAGGTCTTAGAGATACTGCCCCCGGTATAGATGGTATTCCATATTCGTTTCTTGTTAAGTCGAGGGAAGAAACCAAACTATATTATTTGAAATTAGTTAATACCTTTTACCATTTAGGTATCATCCCTGAATCCTGGAATAAGCAACTAGTTATCCCTCTGCTTAAACCTGGCAAAGACCCTTTGGACTATAATTCTTATAGGCCCATTGCGTTATCGTCCACCCTTTTCAAAGTGTCAGAACATATGATCAGGAATCGTCTAGAGTGGTTTTTTGAGAGTCAAGGTCTTTTGGCTAAATCTCAGTTTGGTTTTCGAAAGGGTTTCAGCACTCTGGATAATTTAAGTATACTTACGACTGATATTCGTATAGCTTTTAAGAAAAAGCAATATGTAGTTGCTGCGTTTTTAGATATAGCAGGCGCCTATGATAATGTCCTTCTTCCAATTCTCAGACGTAAATTGATTCAGTTGAGTGTTCCTGAGAAGTTGGTTCGATTCATAGTTAATTCTATTTCAGCTAGATCTATTGAAATCAAATGTCATGGAGCGCCTTCTATAGTCAGGTCTGTTTGGTATGGTCTACCTCAAGGGTCGGTTTTGAGTCCCCTGCTATATAGTATCTATACTTATGACCTAGAGAGCGTTGTAGATTCATTCTGTCAAGTCTTACAGTATGCAGATGACGTAGCCCTCTATATAAGATCGAATTCAATCGAGGAAGCTTGCTTTCGCCTCAATACTGCGTTAAGTTATCTTGGTGATTGGCTAATGGATCACGGCTTGTCACTATCAGTTTCTAAATGCTGCAGTATAGTGTTTACCAGAAAGCGTAACATTCCTACAGCTCAAATAGTTTTTCAAGATGTCCCTATTCCCATGAATAACCAAGTAAAATTTTTAGGCGTTATTCTAGATTCTAAATTATCAGGAACTCCTCATTTCCATAGTGTTGTAAATAAATGCGAGAAAGGGGTCAATGTTCTCCGTGCTCTTTCGGGTGTATGGTGGGGTGCTCATCCATTCACTCAAAAATTAATATATAATGCCCTAGTCCGCTGTCATTTCGATTATGGTTCCTTTCTTTTAGACCCATGTAATAAGTTGCCACTTGATAAAATTTCTAAAGTTCAATCTAAATGCTTGCGGATTATTATAGGTGCCATGAAATCGTCTCCTATCAATAGTCTCCAGATCGAATGCGTTGATCCCCCTTTGTATCTGCGTAGGCAATTTTTGAGTGATCGATTTTTCCTTAAAGTTATACAACGTGCATCCCATCCTTTACTTAAAAAATTAGAAATATTGTTGAAAGTTTCTAGTACTTCCTCCAGTTCATCGGTAGGTGTCTCTTGTATCCTCCATAGCTACAAAAAATTCCATACTCCTTCCCTTCCCATAGAACGGTATTCTCGTCTTCCTCTTTTTGAAAATAGCTTTGAATCACTTATTTTTGAGCCGATCATTCTTCTTGATTTTGGAATCGACAAAGACTCTCCATATGCCATGCGTACAATGGCACGGAAATTAGCATCGGAATATAAAGGCTGGATTTCTATGTACACTGATGCGTCCAAGCAGCATGTTAATGATCCAGTTGGATCAGCAGTATGGATTCCCGCTCACAGATTAGTATTAAGTTTCAAAATTCCCTCTCTCTCTTCTGTATTTACAGGAGAAGCTTTAGCTCTCCTTGAGGCCATCCTATTTGCCGAATCTCATAACTTTAACAAAACTATCATTTTCACAGATTCACAGAGTTGCTTACAGTCTATAATATCACATCCGTTTCGTTCTAAAAATAAATTTCCAATAATATTTAAAATAAGACAAGCATTGCATAGGTGCCATCTTAAGAAGCTGCTCATTACCCTCGCATGGATACCGGGACATTGTGGTATTCCTGGGAACGAGACAGCTGATGCATGTGCTAAGCAAGCTGTTATAACTGGCTCTTTAAAATATTCCAAACTTTTTCATCACGATCTCTTTGTACTAGCACATGAACATTTAATGAGGTCATGGAATGTTGATTGGGAAAATACTAGAAATAGAGCGGGAAAGTATTATTTTGAAATTCAGAGAACTATCCCCAGTACTCCCTGGTTCTTTAAGGAAAAGCTTTTAAGTAAAAAAACGATTTCAATTATTTGTCGCCTGAGAATTGGACATGTGTGTACGCCGGTTCGACTTGCCAAATTTAAAATTAAAGACAACCCCCTCTGCGATTGTGGCATTGAGGAAGGAACTACGGATCATATTTTATTTAATTGTTCAAATTTATCCATTTCGCTTTATGATTTGCTACCATCAAAAGTTCCACGTCCAACAAATATAAAATGTATCTTGAGTATGGAGAATCCCAGCCCATTCAAAATTTTAGCAAAATTCTTTGCAATCAATAATAGTCTTAATTTATAAATATATTTGTTTTCTATATACATTCTATTTGTATTATCTTTAACAATGTAATCAGATAGACGCGCTCAGAGCTATTTTTTTTATTTTATTGAAATTCAAAATTTTACATATTTTATTATTGTTTCTATACGTGTAAAGACCACAAACGTGACATTGGCGGAATTGTGTAAATGCAAATAGGCCATGAATTAAAAAAGAAGAAGAAGAAGACTGATTGAAAAACTAGAAAAAAACTTGAAAATGTTCTTTGGATTTCATTAATTTATTAGAAATGAGGAACTTTGATGCAACGATGATCTTTTAAATACATATTTGTCGGGCCTGTGTCGAGCTCTAGGATAAAGTGATATTACTCTCTTCCATCCAGGTAAAAACATTCAATTTTTATAGTACAAAAATAAGTCGTATAAAAACTTTTATTCGATTTTTTCACAAAGCTATATAATTTTGTTTAATATGTGATCATATTTTGTAAGTTATCTTTATTTTATTGTTGGCTACGTTTTTTGCGTGGCGACATTTATAGCACCTTAATAAACGAAGTATTGTGTAGGTGGAAGCAGTTATTGCCGTGTTATGGTTGTATTACTAACACCAAAAATCTTTGATACAGGTACTACCTATAAGATATCTTAAGTTGTTTCTCGAAAAAAGTTTTTTTGATAACACTGGTTTTGTTGTTTTCACTTAATGGCATGCGAGATGCGTCAGAGATGCACCAATAATTTCACTAAGTAGGTACCGACAACTTGCTTTCCCTCCAGTAGGAGCATAAATTATGCACTCAACATGAAATATGTGTGAAAGTTCTTGTTTCATTTACTGTATAATATTTTCAATTTGGGTATTGTTGTGTCTATCTTCCTTTTATGCCTAATCTTTATACTCAAAAGTTGTTGCATCTACATGGCATGATAAACTTTATGAAATAATTTATAACTCACTCATACAATAACTTGTAAGATTGTGGTTAAATGAAATTGTTTATTAATTGTCATCCATTTAGGTTTGCTAAATGTTTGGTTTCAAACCCCACTTTATCAATTGTTTTTGTTCTCTTAAAATAAGTCATTTAATATATTGTTTATGTAAATTAAATTGGGCACAACTGAACTGGGGAGACTTAAATTTGCTTTTGCTGCTAAAGAAAGAAAACAATTGTTATTTATTTGTGGGTAAAAGAAATCAATACAATTGTACATTAATTACCAATTAAAAAAATCTTTGTATAAAATTGTTAAATACCATTTCCTTTTTGACATCAAATAAAAATTCAAACAATCACAAAAATAAAGATTGTTGCAAAATTTACTTTAAATTTAGTGAAATTTATGTAATTTATTTTTATTTTGTAGAAACAAAAACTAGATGCACCTATTTCTACATTTTTATGAATTCAACATTAAGTTTTTAAAATTTCCCATTCTGTTAGGTAACTACATGTTACAATAATAATGTAAATGTTCTATCATACAGAATTTAAACAGCAAAATGTTCTAAATCTCACTTTATAGTGACAAGATGAGTATGTTAAAAGTTTCTATGGAAATTTGTAATTCTGGATAGTTGCTAATAGGATTGTTGGGTGAGTTTCCATACTATCAGTTAAGTTTAGTTAATATCGAAAAGACTTTAATTAATACTGTGGTTTGTCATATTTTAATTTTATAGCCTTTGTGTAAATCAGTATCATTACAATGACTATAGAAAGGTTAGATAAGTTATGGGGGCTACAATTTCTGCTCTTTGATGCCTTTATTAGTCCTTTATATTTGAATAGTTGGATGTTATTACTCCAGCCAACTCAACTCTCCCCAGAGCCACAGAAGCTTTTTAGTATACCCATGGAGGCCCCACTGTGCTGCTAGATTTGCATGTGACTATAGGTAACATCATCTCCGAGTTTTTTGCTGGTTCTATTCATTACAAGGGCTCCTGTCACAGACATACGAACTGATGGCATAGAGTTTTGACTTTCACAAGTGGTTTGTGAAAGTCAAAACAGAAACAGCCTAGACTGAATAAATGATTTTGATAAGTCAACAGAATAAAAATGAAATATCAGTATTTTATTTAAGTAATTTCTTTGTTAATTTAATATACAAAACGATGTATCTAATTGATGATCTAAATAGAATTACTTTTTATTTTATTACACATACATTATCTCTATTGTTTGAAAAATAAAACATGTTGCTATTTTACTTTTATTTTGAAGTAAGTATCTACTGAAAAATGACTCCATACAGCTGTTATCGACTTAATATTTGAAATGGAAGCTTTGGCATAAAATTGTGAGCTTGTATTTGATTATGCTTTCTGGATAAATTCAACAAGTAACATAGTGCAGTCATTAAAAATATATATAATTTACTTCAGACATTAAAATTAACCTGAAAATCATTTCAATGGTCAATGTCTTCTGGATTTTTTATCCAGGTAAGGTAGAACTACCTTATTTTTGTTATCATTGGAACAGTTACATCTAGTTAATACTATATATGGAAAAAAAATTACCCGACTACAGTGAAGTGAAAAGAAAGGTTATGGTTTTGGTTGTGATGTATGTATATATGAATGTTCATCTGTTCTTTTATAACTTCGAAACTACACATTGTAACTGGACAAAAACATTAGAAGCTTAAGTTGTCCGCGTGCTATGGGCTTTCTGACATTACATTAAATTGCCAAAAGCGTCCTCTAGAGAGTGTAAAGTAAGAAACATAAAATATATATTATTCAATCATTCTGTGTAGGGTATCAAATGAAAAGGCTTAATTAGCAATTGTCACAAATCACGTTGTATATAGGTATATGTATACAGTCACTGATCGAAATAAAACAAATTTTTGTGGATTAGCTTTTGTTTTTTTTTTGTCTAAAGAAGGCCAATTACAACTAGCTTGCCTTACCAATTAACTTGGTTGTCTAAATATTAAGTCAGTCCTTTACTCTTAAAAGTATGTACTGACTAGCTATACTCCATACATTATAACATTAGACAGAAGTTTCTTTTTATAAAGAAGAAGAAGGTTCTTGTTATGGTATACTTTGTGACAAAATATTAACAATCATGTTACTCTTAACCCTCTATTGCATACAGAGCCATTTTTGGCTGCTAAACTTTAGTAATTTTTTTCTACCCTAATTATAAATAAAAAATTTAAAATTTATCACAGTAATATTAGGGAGTTCAAACTGAAACGAAACACAATTTTTATTGTCTATGGCCAAAGTCGTATGTCATTATAATCTCACTTTTTTCCGGTGCGTACGCAAAGTCGTTCTTAGTGAAATTTACTGCAAATTTATTAGTGAAAATTAAATAGAAAAGGTAAGAATATTGATATTCAAAAATATAAATAATGTTCTACAAAGCTTCTATTTTTGATGCCTCTTACACTTTATTCAAAATATTTGTTCTTTATACTTCATTTTCATTATTTTCTAAAGGAGCCATTTTTGGCTTCGTATGCATTATAATAAAGTAAATTTGAGCCTAAAATGGCTTCGCATGCATTCAGAGTTCTTTTTTTTAACGTAAACAACGAAAAATCTCTGCAACAGTGCAAGAGCTACCTCTAAATTCTGTACGTTCAGACAAAATTGACCATTTTCCGATTCATCAAAGGACTCGTCAATTATGTCAGAATGATTGTTCTTTGCGTTCCCATATAAAATGTGAGAAATGTAATGTTTTTCTATGCTTGAATGAGAAAAGAAACTGTTTTAGAGAATTTCACCTTGTATGATGTTTATTTGTCGTGCATCGGAAGCCAAAAATGGCTTCTGTTTTTTTTTTCCAAAATAATAAACTTATTTTTCTTTTCACTTTATATTTTGTCTTATAAGCCATAATAAAGCACATTAAAACATAAAAATATTTTTTTTCTATTACATTTAATAATTCATGCAATAGAGGGTTAAGACTGACGGCTAATTTGCTACATATCCACTTAAATACCAGCTGCTATACTTAGCAGTCGTCGTTTAAGCTATCTGTTAAACAAAATTATGAGTATTTGACAATCTTAAAAGATTTAATAACTTTTACAATAAAAAGTGTTCATCTTAAACGACTTAATTCCCAGAAGGTACGTATTTGACAAAAAATACAAAATACAACTCTATGAGGACACACCAGATTCCTTCCACCACAAGGAGCTAAGTCTTTACAGACGGCTCTAAAACTAACTCAGGTACAGGTGCGGGTGTTTTCTCAGAGGACCTAAATATCCACATAGCTACGGCACTGGGCACCTACAACACGGCCTTCCAGGCAGAATGTTTGGGCATAATAAAGGTTGCTGAGGCAATTGCATGCCGGGGAGTGAGAAATAAGAATATCCGTATACTCTCTGACAGTGCATCAGTATTACAAGCTCTAGACAGCAATATAATGACATCAGGTCTAATACACGAATGCCATTGTAAATTAGCGAAGGTATGTAAGTATAACAAATTGACTCTGCAATGGATCAAGGGACATAGTGGCTCGAGGGGTAATGATGCAGCAGACTGCTTGGCTAGAGAGGGGTCCAGCAGGAAACCCATCGGACCGGAACCCACTATACCCATCCCATTTCGACAGCTCAGAAACTGGGTAAGAGAACGTAGCTTACGACAACATGATGAATACTGGTCACAAACGGCAGACTGCAGACAAACTAAAGAAGCAATTTCGAAGGTAGACCTACGTCTAGCACGTAAGTTGAACAAATTACCTAGACAAATTCTAAGGCAAATAGTAGGTATACTAGCCGGACATGGAAACTTTAACAAACACCTTTATAATATGGGTTATTCTGACAGTCCTCTGTGCAGGGCGTGCATGGAGGCTGAAGAAACAAGTGCCCATGTTATACAGGAATGCAGAGGCCTATCAAGACAAAGGGCTACATATCGAGGTAACCCAAGGACACTAGTAAATGCGGCAGAGTTCGGGAACTTATGGGGTTCCTGGAGGAGCTGGGGTGGCAGGACTGATGCCACCCCGTATCACGCAAAATAGGCACAGAGTGTCGAGTTGCGGAAAAGCCTGTCGTGCGACTAAAGACTAAAAGTGTTCATATTAAAGAACCTCATGATTATAACTCTACCAAATTTAAAACGTTGCCTAATCCCTTCAAACGTTTCAGTAGTACAGCTTTTTAATTTTGTCAGATTATGAGGTATTCATAATAGTCAAAATACGTAATCTGGGATTCTCATTAATTGTGAATGTTATTGCCTTTCTTGTTGTTTTACCGTATTCCGTGATTGTCTTGTTATTGTATTATTATTGTTTTCTTATAGTTTTGTTTTGGTTGTTATCTTTTTGATGTTAAGTTTTGCTAAATATGGACGACTCCGGTGCAGGTCCGAATGACCTATAACAATTACCTCTGACATTTCAGGAAGTTTTTCCAATATCTTAATCAATAATCTAATAATATTTGAATAAATGTTATAAAAGTAATAATAAAAATTTATAACTGTATAACTAAATTCTATTCTAATTATATACCTACAATTAGAATTTATCAAAACAAAAATCAAAAGAACAGAAAATCCTGTCCTCATCTCAACCCCGAGGTATCGTAAAAAATGCAAAATTGCTCTTTCAGACTACCTAACGTTCAAAGTTTCAACAAAAATATAATATATATTTTTAAAATTTATCTTGAAAATAAAATGTTCTGCGCTGCTGCTTCTGTGATCCTCTTTTTTCTAATTTTATAATGAATGGAGTATAGTTTGCTGTTACTGGATTTAACTAATTAGGCTATAGACTATATTGATTGATATTTTGCTTTTGATATAACCTAATGGTGTAAATTGCTATTTTTATTGACTAATTAAATAATCTTTAATTCAGGTTTTAATTGTGGTGTAATAAGACATATAAATAATTTTCAAATATGATAAGTGGTTACAAAAAACAGTAATAGAAGACATGGAGTTATTATCATTACAGACATAATTGAAAACAAAATATATTTCCTATAATAATCATAGTACCCCTTGCATCTCCCAAAGTCTCTTTAGATGTATTCATCATAGAAATAACTAAATAAGTATCACAGATTATGAATGAGATATCATAATTATATGAGAAGAAGCTGTTACTTCATTGGTTCACCTAATGTTTTAATATACTTTATCATTCAGAACTGAGTTGGTATCATACTAAGTCATGCCGGTTGACTCTCGTCACGGCTGACTTGAATACTTTAATGCTAATTACACAAATAAACAGTGATAGATGTGGTGAAAGTTGTAATGCATTCGTTACACTCGGTTCATTCATTAAATAAGTTTTATCTAGGTTGGTACCAACACCATAAAATTTTATTATGTTAGAGGTTTAGAGGGTTGATAAATGTTACCTGAGCCCTCCTTACAGGATACCGGGTTCTTCCTATCCGCGTGGGATGAACCGCAGCTTGTTTTAGCAAGTACACCTTCCACACTAACATGCTTTTTGCAGGGCGGGGTGGAAGGAAAGCCGTGGTTTAAGGCTTAAGGTGCATTTCCCCTGCGTTATCAAAAAAAGGGCCTGGTAAATGTCGCCGTATGTGTATAATCGCTCTGTTTTTCTTAATATCATTTTGCAGTGGCCCGGTTATTTTCACACTGCCTGATCAGACCCACTTAATATGTTTAAATCCAAACTGGTTTGATTAAGTAAAATTACCTATATAAGAGCTTTGCTTGGTATTTTTTTTAGTAAATGTAATCGCAGACCGATACATCCAAATTCTGCATACTAAATTTCATGTTTTCTTTGAGCCGTTATCGATTATTAAAGCAATTTACATACAGATTGCATGTATGTAAATAAGAATTCGTTTAAAGGTATTAAGATATTACCCATTTATTAATAGTGAAAGGTTTATACTAAATATTTCTGTATCGCTTATTTAGTCACTAAAGTTGATTAATGCGAAATATGGAGCTGCTTCTAATTTTTACTAAAGAATCCAAGTTCGCGGAATATAACGATAGTTTTATCCTAAGTTTCCACTTCAGTTGGTATCTATATGTATTTATTTTAGGGTAAACTTGAGTTAAAAACCTAGTTTCATATTTATAAAATATGACAAAAGGCATTAAAAAGTTATTGCTTGATGAGCTAACTTAATTTAAACATGGCGGGAACGTTTCGATTATTTTATTTTGATGGCCCGGTACTAATGGGAAACTAATCTAGATAATAGAATTCTCTTTTCCAATCTCATTTTTTTGCAATTTAAGGAGGTTTCTGATTATTTTTGTAATATTTTATCACCAAAGAAAACGTCTCTCTTCCCATGATCTTTATTGGGCCTAAAATATTTTTTTTTGTCTTTCATAAACCATATGCTGTCATTACCGCTTATTCTTTATTTATACACAGTATAAAACAAGTTGCTTTCCGCTGTCTGTACGCTAAGATCTTTTAAACTACACAACGCAATATAATGCGGTAATTAAAGGAGGTTTCTGATTATTTTTGTAATATTTTATCACCAAAGAAAACGTCTCTCTTCCCATGATCTTTATTGGGCCTAAAATACGTTTTTTGGTCTTTCATAAACCATATGCTGTCATTACCGCTTATTCTTTATTTATACACAGTATAAAACAAGTTGCTTTCCGCTGTCTGTACGCTAAGATCTTTTAAACTACACAACGCAATATAATGCGGTAATTATCAATATACAGAGTTATTCAAGCCTTTTCGGTATATAATAAATGCCTCGCGGCCGATATTGCTGGTGGAAAGCTATTTTAGTATAAAATGAACTAAACCAATATAAAAAGTAGGTTATGGAATTTTCTTATAAAATTTTATAAAATTAAACGAATCCCCTCATCATGACCACTACACTGGGTGGAAGTTGTACTTGGTGTTTATTCTCCCAGTTGTGGGGACAACTCATAAAAAAAATGTATTAAATTAAAGTAAATTCGGCCAAGTGCGAATTGTTAGGGCTTAATTATTGTACCGCAAGTGGTTGGCAGCACGTATCGTGTGAAAAAATTACTAATGACATTACATCGATTCAATGATATTTGTGGCAAAAAATCCAACTAGTAATAATTTTTTAATTTTTAATTTTATTTTCAATATTCTAGAAAATTATCCATTATCTACTTTAACCAATTTATCAAATGTATAAGTAAAGAATATATAAACATAGTTGGCTACACTCCCACTTACAAATATCTCTATTCATAATTGCGCTCATGCTCATGTAAATCAGATTATGCTTTTAATTACAGGGTAAAATATTATCAAGATGCCGTCTACCCACCTTAACCTGCGTGAGGAAGATGTCGTACGGTTGGCCCTAGAATTTCTCCACAACCGTGACTTACACATAACGCAACTCTCGCTAGAGCGTGAAACTGGTGTTATTAATGGTAATTTCGCAGATGACATATTATTTCTTCGTCAACTCATCCTTGATGGACAATGGGACGACGTCCTGGAGTTTATTCAACCATTAAGTGCACTAAAAGCTTTTGAAGCGGATAAATTTAATTATGCCATTTTGCGTCACAAATATATAGAGCTATTATGCATAAGATCCGAAATAAAAGCGTATAACAATGTTGAAAACATTGTGGACGAAGTCGTAAAAGTACTTAGCGATTTAGAGAAATTAGCTCCCTCTAAAGAGGAATATTCGAATTTATGTTTACTTCTTACATTGCCGAGTATTACAGATCATGCACAGTTTAAGAAATGGAATCCTAGTAACGCTAGAGTTCAATGTTTCCGCGAGGTATACCCTCTTGTAGAACAATTCTTACCATGTGACAAGAAATCCAGTAGTAATATGTCTAAATGTGCGAAAAATGACCGACTGATGCAGTTGCTCATAAAAGGTATTTTATATGAGTCGTGTGTTAACTATTGTCAAGCCAAGGCAACAGGTTCTGATACACAGTCAAATGAAGTTAATTTTTCGAGATTACTAGACGGATCAGGATTTGATGAATCGGATTTAAGTTTACTGTCTTGGTTGCAATCTATACCAGCCGAGACGTTTAGTGTTCCGTTTGAACAAAGAATGTTGAACGTTGACGTAGAAAAATTAGAACGGCCTTCGTTACACACCTCGTGGACGGAACATATGCTTGTAACACCAATAAAGCCTCGCACATTCCCTCATTTGGCTATGCCGTTTAGAAGGCCACGTTCTGCGGCTGATGCAATGACTAGATCCTTACGTCCACTACCCGATGGAGCGCCGAGACATCCCGCCGTCATGGCTTTGTCAGCAATAGATTACGGCCCATCAACATCATGCTTCGCTGGTTTCCACTTAACCGGTATAAAAGGTAGTAAAGTTATGAACACATCGGTCGATAGACTGTTTGATAATAAAAATAGTGAAAGCATTTTTAATGGACTTAGTGATTCATTGAAACCTATTAATGAGAAATTGAAGCCTATCGGAGAGTTCTCTTCGTCAACTAAGACAAACGAGACTAGTAGTGTTGGCGCATCAAATGCGACTACGCCGGAACACAGAGGACAGGATTACTCGGCGTCCACTTCCATTTCGACAACGGCAGCATCCACATCGTCGCTTGCCGAGCGGCCGCCGCCACCGCCGCAAACAGATACGACGCCTCCCATTCCCGCTCCCGATGGAGATTTCAGAAGAGAACTGCTAAAAGAGTATCAAATTCAAAAGCAACGCGAATGTGATGATTACCTACGCAACTTGTATTCTTCCGATTTGAGACAACAGAAAACGTATGTTTGTGTTTATTTTGTCAAGTTTTAACAAAAGTCTTCGTTGCTAATTAATAATAATATGTTATGTTATTTATTTACAGTATGGAGCAAATCGGAGATGCTGCACCAGGATTATCGAGTGTTGTCAAATATGGCCAGCAGGCGACCATTGACAAAGTGCGCGAACAGTCACAGTACTTAAGGTTTGTCGAAAAATTATAATACTGATTTTAAAATTTGGTGATTTGGCTCAAACTTTGAACATTATAAACACCACGTTTTTAGTTTGAAATGATAACACGTAACTGTAATATGAGAATCGCTATTGCAAAAAATATAACAAATGGTAAGATGGTAACTTGTGCGCAGTGAGTGCATCGAAGAGCAATAATTTTCTTACGGTGCGCGGTTACTATGAGTCGCCGACCGCGGTGCAGTTTTCACTAACAATCCGATAAATTGGACAGACGTAAAATATTCTTTGTTAATAGTTTATCTTGTTAGACTTTCATTGTTGTGTTTTTTGTTCTTCCAAATATATAATAAATAGTATTTTATTTGTTTGATTTTTCAGGAGGAGCGATACGAACGAAATTTCAGAAATGGGAGATGTTAACGTAAGAATATTTATTTATTTAATTCTTTATGCACAATTATAAAGGCGGACTTAATGCTTTAGGCATTGTCTGCCAGTCAGCCTTTAGATGATGTGGAGATTAAAATAAACGATAAAAGCAGGTGCATATGTAATCATTGAGAGAAATAAAAATATAAAAAAATAAGCATAACACAAACATACATATATATAATAAATACAAATACATACATACTTATAAATACTATGCCTAGTAGAAATGAGATTTCGAACAACCCTGCGATTCTGGGTTCGAATTCGTCCATACTCTAAAGGCTAATAAATCTGAAGGTGCAAATAATATGGTTATGGATATTCTATAGCCAATTATCGTATATGAACAATTGGGGTTGCCCCAATGTCTTCTTTGTAGTCTTATTTTACTGATACTGCCTTTTGAATTTACACATTGGTACATGTTCTTGCCTTTACGGCATTAAGGCCATAACTTTATAACAAAAATCATTAAATAAATAAATAAAACGTCGCAAAATTTATTACGTTCAGTAAGAATCTCCTGTCGTTGGCATTTTTTTCGAAGCTATATGAATATTGTAAAAAGGCAAGGTTTGTTTGTTTGTTTACATTGATCATAGCATCAGAAACTACTGGACCAATTTTAAGAATGTGATTATACGCAAGTGGCATAGGCTATAATATACGCGAGCGAAGTTGCGAGGAAGTAAAGTCTTATTCAATACTGTGACCTCACAAAATTTTTTTATGAATCAAAGTATCGAAAGCTTCTCCTATTTTAGTCCGTACATTTTCAATCCCTTGCGGGGTAGGTAGAGGGGACCGAGCGCCACAAGGCACAGTCCTTTAATATTTCGATTCCTACACTTTCTATACTGTTTTCATACATGGTCTCCAGTTAATATGGCTTATGGCATCCATTCATTCTATTCCAACAGCACGTGATTAGATTGTGAAAGGTGTGACCTTGGCCTTCCGCGGCTTCTGCATCCACTTTCACATTGTATATCAGTTTTATCATTATTACGTCCCCAATTCTTTTCATATGCCCGAACCAACCAACCGACTAAGTTATTTATGAATTTATTTACGTTAGTCGACAGGAGCATACGAAGTGCTGACGCCATTGGCTAATGTAAATGAACTATACCAAGTTCGAATATTTGTTTCGTAATACATTGTGAAGAGATCAAGAAGGAAGTAAAAGTATTTGTCGATTCACTTACTAATATTCGGCAACAAAAATTATGATGTAACATAATTCTAATGAATATTAATTTTTTATTGATCCACATTTAAAGTGAAAATATGATATCATCTGTCATTCTAATAAGGCGATGTTTATTCGATGAGCTCATTAATTCTTTAGTATGTGGTCGTAAATTATGCTTTGATGATTTTATTGGATGTATATTTGAATATGTTATGAAATAACACGTGCTTTTTCGTTATATAAATCAAATTTCATATTTTGCTTGAATGACAATCGATGGCTCGTCAGATGATATGTGGTTTTGTACTAACTTCTCAAACTGTTTACCTCTTAGTTGAGATACCGAACTGATTGTACTCTAATTATCGAATATTGTTTCGCGATAGTATTTATAGTATGCAAATTTAACATACTGTTAGAACCTCGCAGAACTAATAATAAAATAAAGGTAGGATAAATAACCCATTTAAAGGTAAAAAGATGTTTGCTTTTATACCAACTATAGCTGACCCGGCGAACTTCGTAACACCTTATATCCGTTTTAAAAAAAATCTTATATACAAACCGTGTCATGAATTGTGGAACACATAAAAATTGAATCATCCAATTTGGTGCAGTCGGAACTGGAATTCCGAAGTTATGCGCGTACATATGTTTTGGCGATTCATTTTTATTTATGGATATTTAATAGCCCGCCCGGACTATTTTTGTTTTTCGAAAACTCATTTGTTATTAATTTTTTTGATATAGTACGAGTATAAAAGGGATTTTGGCTTAGTCAAAGTCAAAAGTCAAAATAATCTTTATTCAAATAAACTTCTTAAAAGTACTTTTGAATCGTCCAACATTTTTTTCCCTACCACTCGTTCAGGACGTCTTTTGGCTAATGTGTAATGTGTAATATTGGCTAATGTGTAATAATGGAAACAAGATAATGAGTTTATAAGTAATCACCTATCCAGTTTCTGGATCATCTCAAGTTACATTAAATGCTTAAATGCTTACATTAAATGCATAACGTATCTAACTTATTTATTGGAATAAGGATTAATACTGTATTGTTCAAAATAGGTTCGTAAATAAACCCATCATTTTACTGTTTTAAGTATAAGTAAAATAGTCATTGTGGGTTATCCTTGTAATAAAAAAAAAATATACCACCGCGGACTTTTTTGTAGATCTATTAAAGAGGTACAATTCCACTCTCAGTACAACTCAAAATTTTTTCGCTTTATTTATCGCGAACAGACAGACAGACAAACCGAAGCGGCGGGGGACTTTATTTTATAATATGGAGTGATACAGTGGCGAATCACCGATTGGGTCCCATTCAATTATGTTTTCGTTTTTTCATGTTGGTTGTCACAAGTTTTTGCAAACCTTATATTTTTACCATATAATGGTATGGTGTATTAAAACAATATATGATATATATACAGTGGTGGCCATTTAATTAAGAATTTGTAGTTATAGAATGTTTTAAATGAAACTTGCCCTAATTTTTTTAATATAACTTTTTGTAAGTATTCACTTACGTAAATTAGAGAGCCAGTTATTTAAGATAAACTAAACTACATATAAGATTAGTAACTTTTTTTTTTTTTTGTAAAAGTATATTTATTGTGGACAGTATTATAGTATATGATAATGAACCTGAACAAATAATTACAAATGATACTCTTTAGTTGTTGGTAAAATGTTTAAAATAAAATACATAGTAATTGCATTATTATTAAAAAATAAATTAAACATATTTTAAACTAAAATTGATATTTGGTCGCATGTCCACGACTCTTAATAACTGGGGGCCAATTCTACTTCATAAATTTCGTTTATTTTAGCTGGAATTGTATCGTATGTCACTTAGTAGAATAGAAAAACTATTAAAAACTGTAGTTTCGTTCGGTATCGATTCGTTTTCGATTCGATTTAAACAAAATTTATTTAGTAGAATTTGCCCCCTGCATTGACTTTATTGATTTTTGACATTTCGCATGAGAAATAGGATTCTATTCTTCCGAGAAAACGTCGTATAGTACCCTTAAATTACCACAAAATCGATTTGCTACCTTTTTTTTAACTTCACAGCAAAGATGTTCTATTGGGTTTAAATAAGGGCTGTTAAATGGTCAGTCTAAGATGGAAACGGATTGAGAGTGAAATTATTTTACCGAGCGTTTCTTTGGATCATTATCCTGCTGAAATTTCAGAATAATTGGAAGAACGTCTTCAGCATAGGGTAACATTGTTTCTTCCAATATATTTTTGTATTGAACTGGATCCATGTTTATCCATGGACCTATCCCACACAGTGATGATCTGCCTGTTCCTCAGCCTCCAGTAAACAATCTGCATGGACATGTTTTCGAAATATTGTTTGTAATTTTCTTGGAAACCACAAGGCCGAAAACTGTGAAGAGTTGGTCAACAACCTCTTATCAGCTTACAAGAATATGTCGCTCAAGATACACTTCTTACACTCTCATTTGGATTTTTTCCTCAAAATTTGGGAGCCGTTAGTGATGATGAACACGGCGAGCGATTCCATCAGGATATATCCAACATGGAAAAACGGTGCCAAGGCAAGTGGAGTCCGAACATGTTGGCTGATTACTGTTGGACACTCAAAAGAGATGTACGTGACGCTAAATATTCCCGAAAATCCTGAATAAAAGTCAAATGTTAGTTGTTTTTCTTGATTAAATTCAATTTTCAACCATATTTACTTAAAAAAAAAGTGTATTGCAGTTGCAAGAAAACTGAGGGTGATTGAACCTTTTTAAAAATGCAGATTATTAACAGGCTAATTGTAGATACAAAATATCCCATTCAAATTAATTTAACTTTCATTAAGGTAATTTTTGTCAATCAGTGTAATTATACGCAACGTTCTACCCTGAAGTCAGATTTAATAATTTTATTATAGCACCTGAGTTTTTGAAAAAGCTATTTATTGGATTCTTAATTAATTTATTGTATTATATAAAGAAAAATTGGGAAAAGGAAATAAAATTTTGAAGGAAATATAAAACTGTAAGGGTAAATTCTAAGGTTAATTAAGGTTTCGGAACTTAATAAATTACTTTGGTGTTAAGTAAACAATAGGTTTTTTTTTTATTTTCATAACTAATTAATAAGGTTTTCTCTAATGAAAGGCAATGTGCAATTAATTAAAGTTATCATATTTTAGACGAATCAATGTTTATATTTGACATCACAAATACAATGACATCAATTGTAAAAATTAGCTTCAGAATAACAATCTTAGGTTAAATTTAGCAAAAACTAATATAATTTTTGCTAAATTCGAGTTCGATGGTGTGCGCTTGGAGAGGAATATCATATTTTTATTAAAATACATTACTATGGCTATTATAGCTATTTATTGTCACATAAACGTAATTTAAAACTCAAATAAAAAGAAATATTTGAAAACTTCTGATTATATACGTATTTTGACTATGTCCCGCTTTCGACTATCTTTTTTCTTTTTTCACTTAAAAAGTTTCAAAATCCAAGGGCAAAAAAAAATCTTGCAACGCTGTCCAGTCTTCACTTTGAAGAATCCATTGTCAGTTATCAAGTGACTCCCATAATATCACCATTCTTTTTTATTTCTTGTGATTGTACCTTTTTTTAAATTGGATAGAGAAAATTTATAAATATGAGTCACTTTTAAGCAGCACTTTTACATACCGTAATAGTTTAATTGAAGCAAATATTTAAAAGTTAAAAGTTTGTATAAATCTTCTTAGATTTTCGACTGATTGAACTGAAATTAAAGATTGGAGCTACTATGATAAAATGTCCGCTTAAATAGGATTTTGATAAATTCAACCCCCGTTGGGATAAAATAAGGGATAATGGAGGATGTAAATGTATTAATTTGAACCTATCAGTACCTAATGGAACGAATAAATAAGTATTCGTTAGAAAT